TTTAACCCGAGAAAGATAACCTACGTCGCAGAGGCGCCTGCGAAGACTGTTGATTTTTGTTAATTTTTCATAGAGGTCTAGTGATTTAAGTTTAAAATTACTTAAAATATAAAAAAATATAATATAAATGCATTTTATTTTTACAATAATGCCAAACCTTTAAAATGACTAGATTAACTTAAATAAATATCCATTGTTAGTATAAAATTGACGCCTTAGAAAAGCATGCGCCTCTGAAGCGTATGGTTATCTTTTACGTACGTTGTCATATGGTTATCTTTCTAGGGTTAACGAATCATATGAAATGGAAATATTGGAGGTTAGAAAAACTATTTTGGTTTTGAAAATAAAATGGCTTCGTATGCAAATGGATTCAGTCTGTATTCTATGACTATTTAACATTCTTTATGTTAATACTAAGAAATACAAATATTTGTAAATATCTTATTTCTCCCAATCATGTTGCATATGCTTCATTTGAAATAGTAATTTATTTCTGTATTAAATGAAATACTAGTTGAAATACTTAATTGATTTTACAAACATAAATATATATATATTTTACAATGTGAATCCGAAACACTTGATTAAAGTAAATATTCTCTTTATTGCGTTCAATTTTCATTTGATTAAATAAATTACTTCGATTCTTTGGAGTTTTCGAGATAGCTTGGTGGACAGTCAAACTGCAAACGTTGTCCACAGTTGCATTTCCCTTTCTGAACACTGAATTCGACGTGTAAAATAAAAGTGGTCGGACAATAAAATCATCTTTCTAGGGTTAAGGCTGCGAGTCATTGTACACGAAAATACACACACAAAATTAATGCTACAAGAGTTCTAAATATTTCCGAAAACTCCACCAACTCGAGATATAGCTCTGTCGCGAGGATAAGTAGAGAATCAAGAGAAGGCAAAGTCTCGAGTTAATAGCTAAATCAAGCGAAACGGGCAACAAATTTGGTGGCCGAGTTAACGGGTTCGGGGAGCCATTTTTGTCCTAAAATTTAAACGAATACGGAGAAGCGTGAGCAGTTAAGTGTTCCACGAAGGACCTATCGAAGCCCGGACGCTTAGGGGCCATATTCTTCAGAATTCTTATCGGAACCTTCCGACTCGTTACCTCTAATTTAGCATTTTAAATGTCGCCTGTATGCATGCACCGTTGATCGTTCAGGCCAAGAGAGACCCGGTATCAATGACTCAACATGCCAGGAATTCGTCTTCCCCAGCATCCGAGTGATATTTAGGCTCGAAAATATGCGACCACCCGTCTGGTAGCTGGTTGCTGGAGTCGACAATACAATTTTCGGGGTATCGGTTTCCACGGGACAGCTTTGAAAAAAGCGATACGGGTTCTTAAAAGGATCCGGCGCAGGAATACCGAGCTCGTTTGGAGTCCAGTATATTACCGAGTGCATCGTCTTGCGCGTTTATCAACGCGTCGCACAACGCGGACAAATAATGAAATTGTGGACAAAAAATCAACATTTGTTTACGATTGTATATATTTATGGCTGCAAGGAAGATCGCCGCAGGTCACATGTTTCCATTTTTGAGATATCCTCGCTTGAAGTTCTGATCGCTATTGTTTCGTTTTAGCAGTGTTTCTACTATAATAAAATTACATAAATTGTAACAGTAATAAAGGAATTTACGAAAATTGCTTTTGAATTTGTGGTTATTTATTTTAATAATATATTTTATGACGTGCCTAGAAGATATATAAATCAAATATTTCCAGCCTGCTTTAGTCGAATTGTTGTTAAATATCGTATATCTTGTTAGTTGTTACACAGTTTTCTTTGGTGTATTCTGGCACCCTTAGTATATTACATTATAAAAAACATCGTAGTCGCGTTTGAACTATTACTTTTAAAAATTTCCATGACGAAAAAGATCGTCACGTCCGTCGGAGTTGCCTTCCCGATATGACGAAATATTTTATTAATACGGTAATTATTGATGAAATAATTATAGCGAAATTATAAAAATAAATGAAGCTATTATCATAGAAGGTATAATTATCGTTATCAAAATGTATGTAATTTAATACTGAATTTATTTTATGTTTTCTGTACACAGGTATATTATTTACAAAGTGTAAGAACAATGAGACCCGTCTGTTCGCAGACTCTGACGAAGCTCGACTACCAGCTTCAGGTGCAAGAAGTGTCCGGTAATTCGACCGGAAGCGGAATCGTAGCGAACAGCCTGATGCAATTGCTGTGCAGCCTGATCCCGGAGGAACCGTTCGAGAAATCGCTATTGCAGACGCGGGTCCAAGATGTTGCCGGGTGAGTACACCTACATCGTCCGATAGATCTTGATGTTTCTCGTGTTACGAGATCATAAAAATTCAGTGTCTGCCTTTAGTGTCAATCATACTTTACACACCGATGCAATTCCTCTTCTCGCTCGTCGAAGTTATTTAAAGTGGCGTTTCGTATAAAAGGACAGACGCCGTGAATGCATCTTCCAAATTAGATGCTAGGAGAACTGCATAAAACCGTAGCGACACTTTGGCGACGTTTCTTTATTCGTCGTCAGACGTCGGCTATATAATTTTGGTTTTACTCATTCGTTGCGGCTCATCAACACTCGGACGGTTGATACACGGGTCCATCTGGACCCAGTATAGAAATATCGTCACTTGTCTATCTAAGTTTCTGACGATCATTTTTCACGCATTTGACGACTTTCGAAGATAATATCGGTTCCTGTTACACAACAGGATGTTTCTCTCACTCCCATTTTTATGATATCCGTAAATGTTATATTATAAAATTATTATTATTATTATTATGTTATTTTTTTATTATCCGTGAATGTTAGCAACTGGGCAAATTGAATGCAGCGGTCAAGGAAAAGCGACCAGAATTGGTCGATCGTAAAGGTGTCATTTTCCAGCAGGACAATGCTAGGCCGCACACGTCTTCGTCCACTCGGCAAAAATTGATGGATATTGGTCGGGAATTGATGTTACACCCACCATATAGCTCTGATCTCGCGCCATCGAATTACCACTTATTTCGATCTCTGAACAACTCCCTTCGTGGTAAAACTTTTAACGATGACGACGCTGTAAAATCTCACTTAACTCAGTTTTTGGCCGAAAAGGATCAGACTTTCTACGAGCGTGGAATTTTCAAGTTGTCAGAGAGATATAAGCTTCATTCCAAGTAAAAAAAAATTTTTTATTTCATTGAACAAATCGGCAATTACTTAGTTGCCAACCCGATAGATTCTTAAAAATTTATCTTGAAAATTTCTATGTTCAAGAACTTCTTTTCACGTATTTTCACTGGAACTTAACGGCAAGAATAACCTACTAAATCTACTAGAACCTATTAAAAAATTCCCGAACCTTTTTCTATCCCTGATTTGTAGCACCGAATCAGGAGAACGATATAATTGAAATTTCATTCGTCTCCAGGAGTTTAGTGGCGTGTAACGTTAACACGTTCCGTGCCACGTGTACCATCGATGGTACACGCTTGCATGTTTACTTAGTGAACTGAACAAATTGTTTACAAGAAATTTAGAACCGAAGAATCAATTTCCACCGCAAGAATGGGCGTTGATAAGTTTTTGTTACGTTGTTATGTGTACGAGAATTAATAATTGCACGTAATACATCAAGTTTTAGTAAAATATCAAAGTGTGAAGTTTCGAGTAAAAAAAGCTCGGCACGGAACGTGTTAATCGTTTGCTTGTTTCTGTTCGGCATAGCATCCGATCGCAAGTGCCTAACTTTAATCGTCCGTTTGCATCTGAACGAGAAAGACACGATCGTTCATCTTTCCGTTTGCTCGTTGCACGAACAACACACCGGACGCGATCGTTTTTATTGTTGCCGGACCGGACAACAAGAAAGAACTTTAACACTTTGACGCGCACGGACCACCCCCGTAGGAAAACATGACGGCTCTGTCGTGCGAGCTGAACTTAATACGCGAGTCACGGGAAAGTGACAAGTTGCAAGCTGTTTTCTTTGCATCCACCGAGATATCCGACCTTCGCCATGGAAGACGCGCCGCACCTGGGTCAACTTCCTCCTCCGGGACCCCCCAACACGGCCGTTAATCCTTTCTTACTTGCATCGAATTATTTTCTCATTCCGTGACCACGATTACAACGTTTTCGTGCCGTTCCGAACGAATCCGTCAAAATGTTTGCGAACACCAAACTCGTTCCATTCAGTTCGTCGCGCGCGCGTTGCCGATTCATTTTTTTCACTATCGAATTAGCTTCTGGCGCTATCTTTTCGTCTGTTGAAGCATTTGAAATTTTTGTTGTCATCCAATTAATTTTTAGACGAAAAGATAGCACACTTTGAAATTAACGTAATTTCTATTTATTTAACGTTACAACCAAGGTTTTGTTCATGTACAAACTTGCAAAATACCACTATAAACGTATTTAAATGAAATAGAATTGAATTCCGCCAGCCTAACAATTTTATTTTACTTGAAGGAAGAGTATTTTAGTATTTTAAAAGTAGTAATTTACGAAAATACAGTTGGACAAAATGATAGCGCATTTAACTAAAAATTATGTATAGCAATAGAACGACGAGCAATTATTAGACTGATGCAAAATGATGAACGTTAAATGTTATTATGCAGTAACGATAAAAAATAAAACGTCGAACGGCCATTAATGAAATGATAATACAGCAAATTAAAATAATCAAATAAAATGATATTTACTCACATTTTGAAGGAATTCGTACTAACCAAATCGCTCTTGACAAAATGTTAGGACTTTGGCAAATTTTATTTGAAATAAAAGTAAAATATGATTATTTGAAAGAATTTATTTCAGCCCGTTAGTTTCTCACAACCGTTATTTAAAAGTAAAAATAATATGGATTCATTTGAGATAATGGGATTTTGAGTAATCAATTATTGCGTTATTCCTTTATACCAAATTGACCAAAAGAAATAACGCTGAAAATAACAGTGGGCAAAAAGATTTTATTTTATGAAATCTTCGCAACAAATTGTTTGCAAAAGCAATGCCCTGCTCGGAAAGAAATAATCCACAAAATAATAGTCGACGAAAAGATTTTAATTTATGAAATGTGTGCTCACAACAACACATTTTTCTATGATGCACTGTAAATAAATAGTACGAAGAAGAGAAGGTTGTTCGATCGAGAGTTTGTTTATCGACGATTAGTTATCGTCGAACTGCTGGTCACACTTTATCGGCTCGTGAATCTGCAAATTTCAAGTTTACTGACTGTAACACGTCCAACTCTGAATAATGAACGACGAAGGCGCGATCAGAATGATCGCCGGTCGGCTGCCGGTAGTCGAATTATTATGATTAATTTCCTGCCGATGCGAGAATGGCCTAGTCACGATTTTTACTCAGCGCCGAGATTGCTTTTCGCTGGTACCTTTAAAGTGCGCAGATGTCTAACGGCGATCGATCATTTCGTACCTCCTCGTAATATGTATTTGAAAATAGTTAAGTGCATTCACCGTGGGCCCCACCCTAAAAAGTGCATATATACATATCGGTTCGCATATAGGTCACGAAATTATTCGGGCGTTTTTTTTTAAACCGCAAACGATTTTCAGTTCACTGCGCATGCCTCGACAAATTTTTGCAAAAGTTGCAATTGATTGGAATGACGAAAAAATATGAGGTTGTGAAAATAGATTTTTGATCTCTGCGTAAAAAGAATATTTGTATTATACTATCTCGGTAACTTGCACCTATGTTGAAAATTTAATTGACGAAGTATAATAATTTACATCATTTATTACATAGTGCATTCGTTGAAATTGTCTGCGAATAAAATAATTCTCAGTTTGGCGTTCATCAGAGCATTGATAAAGTGCATTTTCTTTGACATGGTCACATCTTCTTTTGTTACATATGCAGCGGCTGAAAAAAAGTTAATTGTAAAAATTAACACGGCAGAAATTAATCGATATACTACGGAAAATACTGTAACTTTTATTCGAATCGATTGTTTTCCAAATGAATTCCTGTTCAAATAAATTCTTACTTCAGTAACAAATAACTTCTCATCCGGATGAATCTTTATTCAAATAATAAAAATAATAAAAAATAATATATAATCAAATATATATATATATATATATATATATATATATATATATATATATATATATATATATATATATATATATATATATATATATATATATATATATATATATATATATATATATATATATATATATATATATATATATATATATATATATATATATATATATATATATATATATATATATATATATATATATATATATATATATATATATATATATATATATATATATATATATATATATATATATATATATATATATATATATATATATATATATATATATATATATATATATATATATATATATATATATATATATATATATATATATATATATATATATATATATATATATATATATATATATATATATATATATATATATATATATATATATATATATATATATATATATATATATATATATATATATATATATATATATATATATATATATAATCAAATAATAAAAATAATATTCGGATAAATTGTTATCTAGATCAATGTTTATTCGATTGGATATTTATTTCGATAATGTCGAATCAAGTTTTATTCGCTAATCCTTGTATCTTGTCCGTCATCCGAATAAAATGTTGTCGAACTCTAATTAAAAAGTTGGTAATTTCGAATTTCTCGTTCAAAAATGCTTTCTCGTCCGAACGATTTCCGCGGCAACAATTTTTTGTAAGGTAAACGTTAACAGCTACGAAATGCAGAGTGCACAGAAATGACGCCACAAAGAGCTGTCGTTCGTCCATTAGATAATATCTAAAATTTTGCTGGTTCGGATATCAACGTTTGCATTTCGGCCGCGTGATCTATGATTAAAGAGTTGTCCGTGGCGGTGTACTTCTGGTATTGTCTTCTTTTTTTTTTGCGCACCGGCAAGAACGGTAAATGGCCCTTCTGTCGTAAACCGGTGCCACAAAGCCGAAAGCCTCGTCCAACGCGTGCCATTATTTCCCTTTTGTTTCCTCTTTTACTAATACACTCGCGCCGCCATGCACTCAAAGCCGCCACGAATTTTAAATGATATGTTATTGTGCAAAAGGAGTGCAGCTTAAATGTTTCAACCACATCGCACCGTGTATTTGCCGCAAGTATGGTCGCTGCATATCTGAGTAAGGCTGAAAGCGCGTAAATTATCATGCTTTTTTTCACGGTATATTATGCATCCCGCGTGAATTAGCACTGCAATGC